GGTCGGAGCCGCCGCTCACCCTCAGCCGGGGCACACCGGAGCCGGCGGCGGCCTTGTGGGGCGAGGGTGCTGGTGGGGCCTGGGGGGAGCGGGGACGCGCGGGTCTCCGCACTTCTGCCACGTCTGTGCGAGTCTAGGAATAAGACATGCTAAGTGTAGGTGTTTTGGGACCAGTGAACTGAGAAAAGTTCTAAGTCTATCAGATCCAGCCTTGCTTGTTGTGCTTTTGGTGTTCACACCCGGACTCTGCTGAAAAGTGCCTTGTGTCCCTCCTGATCTGGCAAGAGTCACATGTACAACCTCTGCACAACCTTCCCCGGTCTGGAATCCTGAGTTCAAACTTTGGCTAACGCTAGTCTATATGTCAGCGTTGCCATTTAGTCTGAATGAATAGTTATGTGAACCTGTTGCTCTAAACGCCCTTTCTCTTCTGAGCTCTAGGAGAAGATCTCGTTGAAGGGTAAGACATCTATATATACTCGGTACAGATGTAAGTTTTCATCCACTGGCTTAAATGCATTTAGTGTAAGTCGACATGTGCTGGGGTGTTTGAGAAGCAAATTTTGAGAAGTTGAAGAGTTGGCAGATGCAGTGTGATCTACAGCGAGTTCATGATTTTCTGCAGTGCAGTTGGGTAGCAAGATGGAGATGCTGAAGTACCTTATGGATTTAGATATATTTAGGATGCTTTGTCAAGCCCTGTTCTCATATAGTCAGTGGAGCTAAAAAGATGTCCTTTTACTTAAATCCAAACAAATTTTCAGCCTTTTCTAAAATCCTTTCCTTCCTTGTTTGTCCTATTTTGGAGAATACTGTCTAATTTTTATTTTTTCATCCTTGATATTTCTTCTTTCCTTGCTTTAGAGAGCAACTTTAATCAAGCCATTCATTTTTTTGTCTCTTCATTCCATTTTGGATATATACCTGGACAGGTGGGCAGACCTGTACAGAGCCAATCCTGCTGATCTGATAAAATGGGATTATCTGTAGAAAACACTACTTAAGTTTCCAAACTTTCTTTTTGTTGCCAGGTTATGTTACCTTGACAAAGTCAGAATCTAGCTCATGAGGTTACTTCAGTTCTCTCTGCATGTTGTCCTTACCACTACAGACAAATGTACCATCTTTCCAGCAGTTCTAGAAGCTGCAGACAAAGTAGTATCTTTGACTGAGGTGTTTTTCCATGTTCAGTCACTAAAATCCAGCCTTCCTGGTGTTTAGACAGTCAGGACCACCAGTCTTCTTTGACTACTCCTTGTCTAAAAGATAGACTATAATGAATGTTACAGCTTTACCTAACTGGTTTGTGCTCCTACTGTTTTTAAGGAGTATTTCCGCTCTTTACCATCTGCTGGGTTTTCTTCATACACCTCTGCCACTTTTAAGCAGGGGTAGACGTTCTGTTAACACCTGAAGAACTCTTACTTTGTTGTGCTCATCTTTATGCCCTCTTCTCTGTTACTTGTAAATTCTAGTTTATTGGCTGTCCAGGGAGGTGATGATCTGTGACTAAACTACTTTCCTAATTGTGTTCCCTTGCTTCTTCTATATGTATACAAAACCAGAACTAGATACCTATTTCTCCAGTTAAACTGTGACAATTCTTTGTTGTACTTATTTGATCATATACTGTATGCTTTTCCCTTTTTATTTGTTTGGGGGTTTTTTTATTTATTTATTTTGTCTGGTGTCAAAATGTCTGTATAATGCCTCACATAGTAAAATGTGATTTTAATGAGGTCCCTTAAGTCTATCAAAATGATACCATTATTCTGAGACAGAATGTCTGTTTAGATTTTATGTCAATTCCTGTTCATTTTCCTACTTTATGCATCTGACAGCAAATGACAATGAAAACATTTTATTTTTCAGATCACTTTTTCTGCACCTTAAATGGGACATGCATGTTTAGGTTATTAACTACAGGAACATCAGAATGCCTAATCTTGAACATCCAGCGTACCCAGCAGCTAAACTGCTCCAGCTGGAGAGTTTGGTGCCTTGTCGAGAAGCCCAGGTGTCCATGTTGCTGTCACTCTTTGGAGAGGTAATGCTTTTTATAGTGTGTGTTTGAACGGAACGAAGTTGTTCTGCTGTCTCAGAGGGGAGAACAGAAATTTAAGGGCATTTTTGTGATGTCATTATGAACATACCTTGGTTGTCTCTTTCTTGGTGTGGGGTTTTTTGGTTGGTTGGGGTTTTTTTTGTTACCCATCTTTAGCATTGATAAATGTTGGCAGATAGATTCTAGTAAGTTTGAAAGTTGAAAGCTGTTTTGGAGCTGAAAGAAACCAAACAAAGCTAAAGCTCTTGTGCCTTGCTGTCTCTGAAGCCTGGCTTCTCTGTGTCTCTGTTCCATCTTTGCCAGTTAGTGTCAGAAGTGAGTCTTTTCTTCCCAAAGAAAGGGGCAGTGGTGTTGGGGACAGTGTAGAAGTTGTGTACCTGTATTACAAGTGTATGAAATTGGGTTGATTCCTACTAGTTCTGTGGCTGGCCATGAGATTTGGAAATCACTAACTTGTTAATTGATTCTGTTTGTGCTTGGCAAAGCTGTGCTAAAAAGTAATGTGGATTTTTATGTGAAAACTTAAAAGCAGTTGATGTATCCATTTACATTCAGTTAAGAAAATGGGAATTAGTATCTGTTACTGGTTCTGACTTTGATTATAAGTAATAATACTTACATCAAATTACAGCTTTTGGGTTTTATGTATTGCAAGCGTAGTGGCAACAAGTCATCTTAGGAAAATAGATGCTTAAATTTGTGTTGAATATGCAGGTTAGAGTATCTGCATATCTTGCACAGGAGTGCCTTCATCTTGAATTGAATATCATTGTTTTTAATAAAGTGTGTATCAAATATCTTTTTTTGTTCATTTAAGAGAGTGTACAAGATTCTTAGAAATTTCGAAACACAGAAAAATCTGTTCAGAACGAAACACAAAGAAAAAGCTAATTATTTGCCTTGCATCTTAAAAAAGATCATTAAATATACAGCATCAGTACCATTAAATAAATGGAGGTATTATATCAAATATTGCCTTGTGAGAGACAAGTGAGCTCATTTACCATCGCCTACACCAAAACATTTAGTTCTTTTCTGCTTGGTGCTAATGGAAAGAAAAGCGGTTTGTAGTGTTTGCAGAAGTTAGGGCAGTGTAAAGCTTGCAGTTTGTGCTTGCCAAGATTTTCTTTCAATTAGTTAACTAATTTGAATTAAAAGCCCACTACTTTGCTCTCTTGCTGTGTGTGGGTTTTTTTGTTTTTTTTTTTTTTTTTTTGGTGTTGCAGGGTTTTGGGTGGGTTTTGTTTGGTTTTGGTGTGAGTTTTTTTGTTGGCTTTTTTTTTTTTTCCCCCTGAAAAATGTATTATTCTGTATTAGTAGTTTCACTGGTATCTTTCTGATACCTGATTCTTGTGACTTACCCTGCCAGCATTAGTTGATTCCATAACAATTGGGATGTTTTATATTTAATGCTTCAATTTAAAAGAAAACTTCTTTTGAAGGGAAACTTTAAAGAATTGAAACAGCAACAACTGATTTTATTTTTTTTTCCCCCCCCTAGCGTCATCAGTTTAGTTTTCCATCTATCTTCATCTATGGACATACATCTAGTGGAAAGACCTATGTGATGCAAACTCTTCTAAACACGTTACAGGTCAGAATGTTCACAACGGATATTGAATTCAGAATTTATTTGTAACCAATGGTCTCTCAAAACTAGCTTCTGCGTTATCAAAAGAGTTTGTTTCCTCAGCCATTTCTGCCTTGATTCTTATCTACCTACTGTGATGAACTCATCACTCTTCTCACTAGTGTGCTTAGGATAAAATTAAGTCATCCATACTGATACAATATAAATTACAATAGCTTTTCCAAGAAAGTATAAAATGAAGAAAAGCAGCCAAATTTTGTTCAGCTCCCTGAAAGGGGTTCAACCTGAAATAGCTCCAATGACAAATAAGTGGTCTTCTTATTATGCCAGTTTGGGCTGAGTCACATACACTCTACCTTTTTTGAATGTCTTTTAAGTTCTCCTTTGAACTAATTTTACTTGGATATGAAGAGTAGTGATAAGAGTTCACAGTAGTGGAATTTTGCTTTATTTTGTTAACAAACTCATATTATTTACATTCAGTTGAATGTGTATAATCTATTTAAATATCAGCCTAAGAACATAAACGTAGTAAAGTTGTTAAAAACATTCAAAGCAAACACAGAAGCTGTACATGTTTGTGGAGGGGTGGCAGGGGAAAGTTAATCTGAGGTGGTGAAAATCGGTGGCTGAATACCAGCAGCTGCCGTTCGTTCTGATACCCATAGCTGGTCTCACTGAGGACCATGCTGTGTTCATGGCAGCAGATTTGGTTAGTTCCAGTCAGCACTCTTGTAGAAGCAGGAAAATCTGTTTTTCACTCTGAAAAAATAAACACTGTGGGAATTCTGAAATGTTGGAGCAATGTTGCATAGGAAAAATAGATTTAATTCCTGAACAATAAAGGATGATTGTTTTGCTTAATGAGTCAGCCCTTAAGCGTATTGACAGCTCTTTTAAGCTCTATATTTTCAGACCCTATTTGAAGTGTGGATTTTGTGCACTTTATTTTTATTTTAGATGCTCCAAACATACCTTGGTATACAACATAAGTTAAAACCCCCAAGAGACAGGATGCTGTTCAGTTTCTAGCATAACAAAATTAATTTTCTGTGTGTGCTTGTGTTTACTAGGCTTGGTATTGCAAGGTATTTTGCTGGTAGGATGGATTTTATTCTCCCGTGCCAGTACTGTTTCTGTTCCCTCATGTATGAGCACAACTTTCAGAAATGTTAGGACTCTATGCTCTTTTTCAGCCTTGCCATCTAACATAAACTTCCTTTAGATTCCTGATCTTTGAAGATAGTGTAGGAGTGAAAAAGAAGTAGGTTAAAGGAGGACTGAAAAGACAGATCTTGTTGGAATACATGAAGTGGAAACTACTGAGAATTCATTATACAGTTTTGAATTTGGAGCTTTACATTCCTGGGAACCTGGGACTATAAACACTTTTCCCCTCACCTGTTACGGGAGGAAAAGAAACCACTATTGTCCACTGGGAGATGAGTTATATCCTTGATGATTAATACTGGAGTTGCTACATGTTACTAAGCTGAAGTAGGAATTTTGTGAGGAATGGATTTACTTCAATAGCAAGGATTGCAGGTAGAGAAAGCTGCTCTTTAGGGCAGTAGTGGATCATTGTGGTTGAATGCACGTTTCTTACCAAATTAAGTCTTGAAGAATGATGTAGAGAAGTATGGCCCTAAGTCTGTTGAAGTCCCTCTCTGGTCAGTGCTGGCAGAAGAGTTTTAAGTACTAGGTTCTTGTCACTTTGTGACCCTTCTTTGGCTAACAAAACATATATTCATGCTGGTTTTATTCCTTGTTCTTATTTTTCCTAAAACAGGTTTTATAGTCCTCCTAAGTTGAAGAGAGTCATCACCGAAATTTCCAACTAAACATATTGGCCAGGACTGGGTTTTACACAAAACATGACCTCATCCATTCCATAAAAAAATTCTGTGAAGGGAGAAAGGTGGAAGACAGTGTCATGCAGTGGCATTTTGTGCAGTGCTCCCAGCACTGTGCTGACCACTTGCAACATAGCCAAAGATGTGGCCAGACCCCGGAAAGAAATCAGATTCACGCAGCAGCTATTTCTGCAGAACCTCCTATTACCAAGTATAGGTGTCTCTTGCATAATGTGGTGTTGTGACTCACAGCTGAGGCACCCAGCTAAGGGGTTGCAGCACTTAGAATAGGTGCTTTTGGAGATGAAGCCCCTTTCTTTCAATAGTGTTCAAAATCATAAGAGTTTTTATTACATGCTGTTTTAGTGGATTGCCAGCATATACCCACGCTTTGCCACATCTGCTGAATCATATGCTATATATTGTATTTTAAGTGGAAAGACTGGAAGGAAGCACTTAGATTGTTGTGGTTGTTATGCACACATTCCTGTGTCAGAAGTTTAATTTTGCAAGTAATGCATATGTATCCCAATGACTAATTTTTTCCAGAGGTTTTAATGTTCAGTGTAAAACAGAGCATATGCCTTACCAGAGAGTATGGAGCTATGCAAATAATTTCTTAAAAATGGAGTTGCTAGAAAATTACCTTTTTTGCCTTATGTAGGTTTGCTTACTGGTACTATTTTGTAGTCTATAGTCTTTTATAGACAAATTACCTTAACTTTTCAATATTACTGAATTGGTACTTACAAGTACAATTTATAGATTGCCATAAAATGTATCTCATACTCTTTTTTTTTTTTTCACATGCTTTTTACTCTGAAAAGATTTGATTTTCTAAAAATGTTCTGTGCTGGCAGGCTGATTACATGCGTCTGATTTCTGCAGCTTTGACTTTCTCATTTGTATGCACTGAATGCCAAAGACATTCAGGGTAATTCTGGGGAGTGTGCTTCTAGGTTACCTTCATAGTAATGTAAGTCTGAGAAGTTCATGTTATCCAGGCACTGTAATATGTAATGGGCTATTTTATAATACTGTAATGTGTTACAATTGTGTAGCTTTTCTTTGATCTAAGTGCTATTTAGTTTTGTTCATTGCTCACTGCTTTTATATCTCGTTGGAAGATACGCTGCATGTTTCATGTGAAGATTCATCAGATCTCTTTGCTTTCTGATATATAATATTTTGACTAGTACACAAGTAATCATCTTTCTTTGGCAGGATTTTTTTTGTTTATGCTCTATATTCTGTTGGTAGGGTGTGGTTTCTGTCATTGTCCTGCCTGGAAAGGAAAACTGAAGTATTTATGGTGGGAAAGCCAAATAGAATTGTATCTTTTTTTATCCTCTTCAGCTTCCTCATGTGTTTGTGAACTGTGTGGAACACTTTACTTCACGACTTCTTTTAGAAGAAATTCTCATCCAGTTGCAAAGCTGTTCTTCTGAGACAGGACAGACTTCTCATGTGCCTTTTGGCACTTTCAATGACTTTGTACGGCTGTTTAAAGAAGCTATCGCAAGTCGAGAGCTTCAAGATCAAACGTTGTATGTTGTAAGTAACTTTAGTGTCTGCTTTCATTTCAGTTAAGAGGGTGTGAGTAATTGTTATCAATAACTTGTATGTGAGATGTGTGCATTATAGATAGTTTTCACAAAATTTCCTGTGGATATAATTCGGAATCTGTTGATACGGTTTATTCTTTCTGTTGCTTTACTGGCTTTAGATAAGGTTCTGTATTTTTCAATTTGTGGTTTTGGAACTTGCATACAAAAACTGTGTGACATAACTAATAATGTACATAAATTACACTGCATAATTAAATTTGTGAAGATGACTTCATAAATGAGAAAACAGAGATGGGAAGCAGGGCAGAAGTAAATTATGGAGCATGAAAATGACAAGAATTGCTTGGCTAGAATGGATTCAAGTTAGAAATTATAAGGAACTAAAATGCATTTAGTTCCTTAAAAAACAAGAGGTCTGAGGAAAGGACATAGACTCCTCAAAACTACTTCTTTTCTAGCTCTCACATGGTTGAACAAAACCTGTTACGTTAAAAATATGAATGCCATCATATTAGTAATGAATGTGTAACTATGTATGCAGTGTGGACCTGCAAAGGACATTGGCTGAAATTTCAGCCCAGGAATTAAAGGGTTTTTTTAAGAGGTCAAATTGATGAGTTAGGAAAACATGAGAGTGGTTCAAGATAGAAAGCTTAAGGATCCTGGGTACTATTTGAACTAAAAAACTGTTCTACATCAGTAAAGAATGCTTCATGTGTTATATGAAAATCGGTATTGATCAGAAAATATGAAAGCTCTGGAGCAAGGATTACAGAAAGCAAACCATTAAATACCTAGAAAGGTACAATTGTATTGTGTAAATAGTTTCTGAATCAGGATAATTAAGTATTAAATTAGTATTTCAGTTCCATTCTGTATAGGAACAGACAAGAATGGGGGAAATCAATTAATATATATTAATCTCTGTCATCTGGATTTATTGAAGAGTGGTTTAATCAGAGACTGATAGAAGACCAGTATGCTGGTAACAAACTGTCAGTGCTAATTTATTCGATTTCATTTTGGTAGTAAATAATGTAATATTTCAGCCCAATTGACTCGGAGCAAATTAAGATAAATGTTTAAGCAAAGGATTCTAAATGTTTATCTTCCCTCAAGTATAAGTGTTGAATGCTTGTGATTACTTGTGAAAAATGAATTTATTAATTCTAACTGCCTGAAAATTAGAACTGATATAACTTGTAATCATTCATATGTTTAGAATATTTAATGCTTTGCAGAAGTAACAAGCTGTAGTTTTTAGTGTAAGAGTCAATGCACATTTCTAAAAGGCATAGCTTTTAAAAAAGGCTGAAGGGTGGCAAATCTGTATTAAAACTAAAGAATAAGGCATGAATTTATTGGCCTGTGGGTAGGCTGTTTCTGTGAACTATTTGACATATTCCACAAGCTAGGGCCACAGTATATTTTCTTTGCTGTAAGTAGACACACTAGTTTTTCTCACTTGACTGATGTAGATCTTACTTTTTAGTTAAGACCTTAAAGCTTTGTGTTTGGTAGCTGCACGTCACTGCATCCACTAAGCAGTATTTTATTAGTAAAAATATATAGCCTCTATTTTGGTCAGTAATGTAAAGCAATCTTCATCCCTGAAGTCGTTTGTTATATGAAGCAAATGCAGATGTCAATATAAAATCTTACATTGTATTGCAGTTTTAAATAAATTCCCAAGAAGCATGAGCTATTATTGCAGAGATGGAGCTCTTCCATTTTTTTCCTGTGCAGTATGATTTTGAAATACTGTTTTGATAAAATGTTTCTTGGTTGTCCACATCCAATTCTTTTTCTTACTGTGGGCAACAGAAATGATAGATGCCTTAATGTTTTGGTGTAGGGAGGAAATGTAAAAGGAGAGACAACCACCGTTTTCTAGGGACCTGTAGTTTCTCCTTTAACAGCAGTAATTCAAAAGAAGTAATGAACTTCAGAAATTAGATTTATATTGCAAGTAGTAAATAAAACAAAATAAATGTGTTTATATTCTTTTTACTTTCCTGTCAAGAATTTAAGTGTACTAGGAATACAGATTTTTTTTCTGAAGGACAGTCATTCATGTTCTCATGCTCCTATTTTTTTTTTTTTCTAGGCTTCAAACTATGGTGATAGTTTAGATGATGCTTCCTGTTTAAGCTGTCCATACACTACGTATTTGTTAGTGCTATGCCAGGTTTGCATCTGATACAGCAGATCCTGTAAAATGTGCAAACTATGGCAAGGAAAAGATGTCTCAAAATTCAGTTGTGAATTCCAATGGTAGCTAACTTTTTGAAATTATCTCTTATTTCTGAAAAATTTCACAGTGGGAAAAGATGATAGACTCGTAGAATGATTTGTGTTGGAAGGGTCTTTAAAGATCACCTAGTTCCAACCCCCATGCTGTGGGCAGGGACACCTCCCACTAGACCAGGTTGCTCCAATCCCCATCCAGTCTGGGCTTGAACACTTCCAGTGGTGGAGGTGTTAGCTCCATAGGGACAGCTCTCCTACAGGATGCATGTTGATACAATGCTCCAGTACTACACAATTTTTAATATAAGAATCTTGGACAAAAATTGAGGCTTCAGTGGTTGGTAATGATATATATCATGGTTTTGTCAGTGATATTCTTGACTGATGCACTTACACTTTAATTACTACTCCCATAAGGCATGAGAATGTTGCTTGTTTGAGGACTCGATGGAGCTACTTGGGCTTCCTGAAAGCACACCTGAATCAATCTCTTCATTGTTGCTTATTTAAGGGTTTTTTGATACTTAAGTGGTTTCTGCTGTCTGAGAGTCATTGGTGAAATGAGCTTCCAGTGGCTGAGAATTAATAAGTCCATGTGAGAATGAAGGGTGACATTGCTTATATAAGATCATTGCTTTTTTAAAAGGTACTGGACAGAGCAGAGCAATTGAGGGAAATGGAAGCAAACATCCTGCCAGCGTTTCTCAGGCTTCAAGAGCTGGTAAGTGTCAGGGAAAAAAATCTAATATTTCCTGCATAGTGAAAGTGAATGTGGGGTCTGTCCATCTAGGCTCACAGATTCTTTAGAAGAGAAAAGTTGCAAAAATAATCCATATCCCTCCACACTCTGTGATCAGCTGGCAGTGGTGACAAATAGTGTCCAAACAAGTATTAAACACTGGCAGGTTTTTCTTACACTATTTTTCAAAATTCTCTGTAATAGTATCTTGTTTTATGATATCCAATCTGTTGTAGGTACTTTTGAGAGCGGTGTGAGATACATAACTATCTTTTCTAGAATATTGTTGTTTTAAGAAGAATGTGAAAGTTTTCTGTTCTTTGTTTAAAGTTTTGTAATAATTACAGAAAAAAAATTCTCAGTCAGATTATAAAGAGAAGCTTCATTATAGCTCCTATTGACTTGGCACAAATAAATAAATGAAATCCCTTCTAGAGTTGTCAGGTGTTTGTGTGGGAATCCAAGCTCTGCTTCTGAGTCAGCTGCTCTTTTAGAGAGCTGAAACACATTGAGGGAATTCAGCACTGGAAGCGTGAACTTGCAACTGGGTAAACGTTTATCTTCCTCATGTTTCTCTCATGTGAAACTTCACAGTACTGTGTGATGGCTGGGTTGAGGATGGGCCACCAACTATTTAACTGTGGCTGACACTGCACAGCTCAGCAGCTGTGAAGGTACTGTATGGCAAGTAGTTTTTACAGTTCTGCTGGAATTGTGCCACAGTATGTTTATGATTGGAGTAAACCATGGTATCTTTCCCTTTCCCACTTTGAAGTATCAAAGCTGATGCCTTGGAATCAACAAGATTTTTTTTTCAACAAGAGTAAGTGCAGAGTCCTGCACCTGGGGAGCAGTAATAAAATGCACCAGTACAGGTTAGGGGGAGATCTGCTAGAGAACAGCCCTGTGGAGAGAAGCCTTGGAGTCCTGGTGGACAACAGGTTGTCCATGGGACAGCAGTATGCCCTTGTGGCCAGGAAGGCCAATGGGATCCTGGGGTGCATTAAGAAAAGTGTACGCAGCAGAACAAGGAAGGTCCTGCTCCACCTCTACTCTGCCCTGGTGAGACCTCACCTGGAGTATTGTGTCCAGTTCTGGGCTCCCCGTTTCAAGAGGGACATGGATCTACTCAAGAGAGTCCAGTGAAGGGCTACGAGGATGACTGGGGCACTGGAACACCAGCCTGCTGTATGAGGAGAGGCTGAGAGACCTGGGGCTGTTCAGTCTGGAGAAGAGAAGATGTAGGCGGGGTCTAATTAATGTTTATAAATATATGAGGGCTGGGTGTCAAGAGGAAAGGGGCAACCTCTTCTCACTTATGCCCTGTGATAGGACACGGGGCAATGGACATAAGCTGGAGCACAGGAAGTTCCACCTCAACATGGGGAAGAACTTTACGGTAAGGGTTCCGGAGCACTGGAACAGGCTCCCCAGGGAGGTTGTGGAGTCTCCTTCCTTGGAGACTTTTAAGACCCGTCTGGATGCGTTCCTGTGTGACCTGCCCTAGACCAGATGGTCCTGCTCTGGCAGGGGGGTTGGACTTGATCTCTGGAGGTCCCTTCCAACCCCTGACATTCTGTCATTCTGTGAATGAGGAAAAATGGTGCATTCTCTGAAAAGAAACTAGAGACAAACCCAGAAGATGATGGTACTTTGAAATGTCTGAATGTCTAAATAGTCTAAATTATGCTTGTTATCTTAAGACTTTTTCTTTGGTACTCTTAATCTTCTGGTGACATTGATTCCTTTATTTACTGAATGAAGACTGATTCACAGCTGTGTTCTTACTCTTGGCAGCTGCTGCGTTTTCTGCCTCTTTTTATTTGTTCTGCCAATGTTCTGGATTTTGCTGCCCCTGAAGCAGAAACAACCTGCCTGACAGGGAAAGAAGGCCCACTATTGATGTTCAGGAACAGAAAAACACATAGGCTAAGAGTTAAATATGCTAGAGAAACACCTTCAAATTAACAAGTAACCTCCAAATAAGTTTGTGAGCTTGCCTGAATGCTGAGATTCCAGTTGCTTAAATTCTGGATTCTGGACTGAGGCTTTGTAAAACTGAGGCAGCTGACGTTGCAGAGGAATGTTGTAGGACCAAATCTACTGCATTGCTTCCTTTTCTGGAGAGAAAAGACAAGAAACTTAATTAGTGGTGAAAGATTTCTCGAGACTTGGGGATTGCTGGCAAAGACTTGGCCATAGGACGCTTGTTTTGTGAGGATTATGGTGGGAAGTACCTCAGTTTTTCATATTCAAAGGTCTGTCAGGAACTGGATTTTTAGGACTTTCCTCAGCTAAAGTACTAGGAAATCTGGGAGAGGAACACAACAGAAAGATGCTCTTTCGTTAAAAAGAAAAAAATTCACTGCTTCTTCTTTCTCTATTTTTATGGAAGACTATGGGTGGTTGCCAGGTTGGCAAGAAGTGGGAAGAACAAATAAAAAACAATTCTCCCTGAATTTCAGGCAAGGGGAATAGCATTTCAAGTTTTTTCAAGTTATTCACAACTCATATTAAGGGTTGTCAGTTCTGTCAGGTTCTGTTAGTTTCTTTCTTCTTGAGGTACCTCACTAGTGAAATGTCTTCCATGAAGAACCACATTTAAAAACATCTTTTGTTAGGCAGCATATACAGTATGCTTACACAAACCTTGCAAAAAGGAGTAAGAATGCATCATCTTCACAGATATTAAAAAGGTGAGATATTGAAGAGTGACCAAAATAAGGAATATGTTTTTAATATGGAGTGTCTCGTTATCTATTGACCAAAACAAGGCAAGGCAAATATATCATCAATAAAAACTTGGTTAAAAAAGAATGCTACTACATAACAGCCATTATTGGTAATTAATAGAACAGTTAGTAGACTACACAATAAATACTATGTTTTTGTTTTGGGATGATTTTTGTTTCTTTGAAAAAACAGCTTACCTTTAAAATAAAGTACTAGATAGCTTGGTTTCAGAAAGCACTGAGCTTTCTCTTTAACTCTTCCCCTTTGCGATGAATGTCTAGGATTAATTACCAAAGTAAAATGTCTTAATTTTGGGAGTAAGGGATAGAATCTACTTGTTATTGTCTAATACCAGATCTCTGTCACCTCGCAAAGCTTACATGTCAGTGAATTGGCAAGGAATGCAGAGAAATCTCATGTAATTATGAAAATCTGCAAATGTATGAGCTTCTTGATTAGAGCAGCTGAAGCTTTATTACTCTGTGTTAAACTGTAAATGGGATGATTTTTGTTGAACAGAAAAGTCACAATCATCATTTTTCTCATTGATATTGTAAACAAGCAGTGTTGGGCTTTTTTTTTCTCTCCCTGTCACTTTTTCTTCTTCCCTGTGTAGACTGACAGAAATGTGACAGTTGTCCTGCTCAGTGAAATAGTATGGGAGCTGTTCCGCCCAAATACTGGATGCTTTGAGCCATTCACCATGTATTTTCCTGATTACAGCATAGGTAAACTAATTCTTTAATCTGCTTATTGGGGATTGAATAATACTTTGTCAAACAACACCCATATGTTTTTTCCTGTGTTTATCCATGTGCTTTTTACAGAATCCAGAATATATAATAGCTACTGGAATGTAAAAGTCTGTATTCATACAACCTCTGAAAGACTTCTATCACTTGCCAAATAATCTCAAAGTAACATTTTTTTTCTATTATATTTTCTGCTGTTCTTAATCAGTAAAGTTATTGATGGGTTTTAGTGATGATTACAGTTTATTTTTCCACTTAACTTGTAAAATGTGGTCTGTTTATTAAGTAAGCTTTAAATAAGCAAAACTTGCCTTTGTTTCAACAGGACACTTGCAGAAGATCTTGTCTCAGAATCATCCCCCAGAATATTCTGCAGATTTTTATTGTGCATATATCAATATTCTGCTTGGTGTCTTCTACATGGTTTGTAGGGACCTGAAAGAACTTCAGCATCTGGTGAGATGAGTTCCTTTAGAGTTGTTGTTTTATGGAATCATATAATGGTTTGTGTTGGAAGAGGCCTTAAAGATAAACTAGCTCCAACCCCGCTGCCATGGACAGGGACACCTCCCCCTAGACCATGTAGCGCAAAGCCCCATCCAGCCTGGGCTTGAACACATCCGGTGATGGAGCATCCATAACTTCTCCGGGAAACCTGTTCCAGTGTCTCACCACCCTCATAGTGAAGAACTCCTTCCTTACCTCTAATCTAAATCTACCTCCTTCAAATTTGGACCCAGTATCCCCTGTCCTATCACTACAAGCCCCTGTAAAGAGTGCCTCCCCAGCTTTCTTGTAGGCCCCCTTCAGACAACTGGAAGGCTGCAGTGAGGTCTCCCTGGAGTTTTCTCTTCTCCATGCTGAACAACCCCAACTCTCTCAGGCTGTCCTCATAGGAGAGGGTGTTCCAGTTATCTGATCATATTTGTGGCCCTTCTCTGGACATGTTCCAACACGTCCATATCTGTCTTGTGCTGGGGGCTCCAGAGCTGGATGCAGTACTGCAGGTAGGGTCTCAAAGAGTGCAATGGAGGGAGAGAGTCACCTCCCTCAACCTGTTGGCCACATTTCTTTTCATGCAGCCCAGCATTTGCCAGTGAAGACTGAGGCCAAGAAATCATTTGAATACCTCAGTTTTCTCCATATCCCTTGTGACCAGGTCTCCTGTTTCCTTCCAGAGAGGGCTCACATCTTCCCTAGACTTGTTGCTGTGTTACCTGTAGGAGTTTTCCTTGTTAGCTTTGATCTCCCTGGACAGATAAAATTAAATCTGGGCTTTAGCTTTTCTAACTTGATCTGTGATTGCACAGACAACTTCTTTGTATTCCTCCCAGGCTATCTGTCCTACAGAGAGTGCTTCCACTTTGTAGACACTTTTTGCATCTAAGTGTGTCCAGGAGCTCGTTATTCCTCTAGGCAGGCCTCCTGGCATTCTTTCCAGGACACATTGCTCTTAGGCTTGGAGGAGGTGACCCGTGAATATTGACCATCTTTCTTGGGCCCCTCTCCCAAGAGGGAGGTGGTTTTTGTCAGTGAACTCTGAAGGTCTACATTTATCATTGACTATGGACAGAAATAAAATAATAATGCTTTGGGTTGGAAGGGACCTTTTAAAGGTCATTAATCCAACCCACATGCAGTGAGCAGGGACATCAAGTAGATCGCATTGCTCAGAGCCCTGTCCAAGCTGCCCTTGAACGTTTCCAGAGGTGGGGCATCTACCACCTCTCTGGGCAACCTGTTCCAGTGCCCCACCACCCTCACTGTAAAAAATGTCTTCCTTATATCTAGTATACATTTACAAATGTAAATTACAAATATGTTATCTCAAAATGAAGTTTCCCTAAAAATCCATAACACAGTTGTAGATGTTTTGGAAGCTGTAAAGGGTTCCCATTGCTGTGTAGTTTCCAGAACCAATGAGATGCCAGGCTGTTGTGGTTCACCCAGCCTAGAACCTCAGCTGAGGCTTACGAGCTCAAGCTGTTCATCGATGTCAGAGGGACTGAAGGATAGGCTGCCTGTGTGCACCCGTTGGGATGAGGAGATCAGAGTGATGAAACCTTTTATGCCTACAGACAAGTACAGTAGAAGCAGTTGCTGTAACTGCGTCAGTTTTTGAGGAAGAACTCAGCGACAGACTTGGTTAATGATTTGTGGTGGTGGTGTTTGTAATTCAGTCAAAGGAAGCAACAGTTATGATTTTACTCTTTCAAGCAATGATAGGCCTCACTGTGCTTCTTTTCAACTTCATTTTATGTGTGGTTATGTGATTTTGCTCTTAAAGTCTGGATTACAACCCTGTCAAAAATCTCTCAATCTTTATTTGGCCAAAGGCGTTTGTTTGAATATGGGATATGTTAGCTGGGTTTGGGGCTTTTTGTTTATTTCTGTGGTGTTTTTTTAAAATATCTCCTGCTGGAATGAAAAGTTTTATCTGAAAATTAAGGGAGTTAGAAGAGCTTGTGAAAACATTTTTATTGCATTTATGATGTTTAATTACTATGTTATTTATAAAAAAAGTGATCCCTGAGTACAGTGAACAGATTTTGCTGATATTGAAACCAAGGACCCTGTGATAGATTACTTCTGTTTGTACTTTAATCTACAGAAATGTTGTGAAGATTTACAGTATGATGTTTGGAAGCAAGCAGCATAAGTATTGAGTGAAAAGTAATTCTTTGGTTTTGCAAAGTAATTAATTATGCTGCTTGTTAAATGCTATAGCTAGATTAAATATATAATACCTTTTTAATTTGTTGTACTTTTTACTTTCTGTAGGCAGTGCTCAATTTTTCTAAATACTGTGAACCAGTGGTCCGAGGAGAAGGTACGTTTCTGTTATTAGTTTGAGCGGGTGTATGAGACTGCAGATGCCTTGCTGGGGATTTTGGGGAGAACTTTGCTTTGGTCCTGTGTGTTGTGCCCATTTCTCTGGTCAGAACCGCATTGCTTATTTCAGTTGCACTCAGTTGGCTGCATTTGCAGCAGAAGCAGTAGATCACATTTCTTGGTGGTGTTTTATGGAAATGAGATGGAAATACTGTGAAAACTTGCTTCCCTCCTATAAATATTTCTCCTCACTCAACCGCTATGACTTCTGTGAAGTGGTGAGACAAGTAATTTCTCTGTCAAGGCTAAGAGGAGAAAATCAGAGCAGAGGTTTTGCCAAACCACCCCAGAGTATCTCAAAATAAACCACAGCCTTGTGTGGTTTACACGTGCTTACAAATGGGTGATGATGGTGCATCATCCTGCTGCAGCATTTCAGAATTAAGGTGTTAGACTTACTAATAGCCTGTGACTGTGCAGGTGTCAGAGGTGGAATTTTAGTGTTGTGTGAGTTAAATGTTTAACAGTGGATTCTGGCTTGGTGCAGCAAATGAACGTGACAGTCGCAAACTCTGGAAAAATATTGAACCTCATTTGAAGAAAGCAATGCAGACTGTTTACCTCCGGGAAATATCCAGGTAATCTGGGGGTGAGGGCTTGTTTTGTTGGTGTTGCTGTTTTTAACAAGTTTTCTCTCTAAATGTTTACTCTGTTACATTTTATGGTTAGTGTTTCTTTTTTACTAGTTAGGCTCTTTTTTCTCTTTAATGTGCTTTTTTCTTGCTCTATAATACTAGAAATACGGTATCTCGAAAGGAAATTTTCAAACAATATGGTATTTGTAGCATATAAAATATTTAATAAATAAAGCAGTGGCAGCAGGTTGTGTTCTCTTTATTTCATTGATGATCATGCAAGCAGATATGTTTTCTGTCATGTATGAATCTGCCCAGCATAGAAATTCATCACCAAAATACACAGGCACAGTTTTAAACACTCTTATGAAATTGACTTGGTAGATCCTCACTGTACCAAAGATGCTTGCAAGCCTCAAAATTCTTTTTGTTACAGATTTTTATCTTCTGCATTCTTTTGTTTTGTTTAGTAGAGCTAAACAAAGCTCTAGGTTTGAGCTTTAGGTTTGTACCCTTACTGTGTTTTTTGACCCCTTATTTTCTTGTCCAAGGGAAAAAGTTTCATTACAGAAAAGCACCATTTTCAACAGCATTGAAAACTAGTGTCCTGCTAATGGGCTGAGTTTGTCTCGGTGTGGTTTTAGATTCCTCGTTTATTTCTTAAGTTGCCAAACTGCTAGAGAAAATAAATGGTGGTGATCATTTTTAATGGTAATAAAACGGATTTAATGTCTTCTCCGTCTTTAAGATGAGTGATTCTGATGTTACACCCTGCAAAGACTGATAATCCAGTAGTGCTTGATTTCTTTATCTTGGTACAAACATAATGATTCCTTTCCTCTGAAAGCCATGGGGGTGACGGAATGTTCTGGTAACTGAACCTGGGTGCTCAGCAGAAGTCTTTGCTGAACATTTTGGAAAAGTGATCGTTCCTCCAGATCACTGATTTTGTTCCATATGAGCAAGACTTCACTGTACAGTGAGACATTATTCTATTTCTCTCAAATATGTATTTATACTCAATATTGATTTCGATGTACTTGGGAACTTCCTGACTTCATATTGTGTAATTGTCTACTCTAATTAAATGTAATATTATGATATAGAATAGCTTACAAATTGTTTTCCAATAACTAGTTTCCCTCTTTACAATTTTCTGTGATTATAAATTTGAGCTTACTGGCTTTTTAATTACAAATTTCAGCTTTCTGCATGATAGTTCTAGTATTTACCACTATGTACCACTAAATGCTTGAGGAATTAAAATGACCATATTTGTTTTTTTTTGTCTGGCCACAGAACTGTAAATACTCTGGGGTTTTCTTCAGGTTGTAAGTAACAGCAATAGAACTTCGTCATCAGCAGTTGTGCTGCCTTAACTGAGATGAAAATGAAACTTTTTTTCTACTTGTAAAATAGACAGTGGATAAAAACTTTGATAACTTGGTTGATCATTCATTATAATTTGAGTACTACATCAACTCTCACTAAATTGTTTCCATAAATTTTATGGCTTATAGCTGATAAACCCTGGTACCTAAGTAAATCATAGGTTCTTAGTTGAGGGACTGTTCATAAAGAGATTTTTAAAAAAAAAACACAAGTTCTTTAATAAAGTTGATTTTTTTTCTTTTTTTTTTTTTTTATCCCCTTATGAAAAGATCATGGAAAATCATTACATCTCTAGCAATGTCATTTGTTAAGGGAATTTCTGAAGTGAAATATTTTGTTATTGTTCAGGAAAATGCCAAACTACTTGCAGGTATTTTTCAATGGCAAAATGTTCCATCTTAATGTCTTCAGAGTTTTTCAGTGAAGAATGAATATTGCTTTGATTTTTTTATGTAGACTTCAAAATTACATTATGAAGTAATTATAGTGTTGTTCTCACTAGCATTAACAGTTATTAAGCATATAAAAAACCCTATCAGTATTTTCACTTTTTATCCAATTCTACATTGTACCTGAAACTTAGAAGGCTATTTATATTTGCTTACTGATGGTAGTTGGGTGGAAAGAAATTGGTATTTTATAATTAGCTTGTACTTGGCTTCTTTTAGACCATTACTTTCTGCATTTTTTTTCAAATATGCATACTCTGCACATCATTGAAACTTATTTGCAAGGTAGTAGAACTTGGTATTTTCACTATATGCTAGCCAGTGTCATGAAATTAAAATATACATGTGCCAAGTGTGTAGTTTTCTCTGAAAGACTAACAAATGCTTGATCTTTACATATTTCCATTACCTGCCTTTTAGCTCACAGTGGGAGCGCTTGCAGTGTGAGGACGGAGAACCTGGGCAGTTGAAAGGTATTGAACTGAGTAACTCTGAAAGGTGTTGAATATAGTAACTTTAAGGGCTAGTCACCTGGAAGATGTACTTTTTCAAATTGACTTGGTCACTGTTACCTGAGAATGTGTGCATGAATATATATAGACAAGGGTACCTATTAGCATTCAGGTACAGTTCAGGCTAATGATGTTTTTTGAGGAGGTGTTCTACAAAGGTGTGTTTGTTTGTTTTTTTTTTTTTTTTCCCCTAGCACAATACCTAGGAGTAATCTTTCCAAAGAGTCTTTGTGGGTAAAAAAGCAGGTTTCTTTAACTAAGTATTTCCCACGTAAAAAAACAATGAGGAACGGGCTGACCCCTGATGGTCAAACCTCTGTGTGCCAACTGGCACAAGTGTCTGAGTGGGGGGAAGAAAATGTTATACCTGGTACATTACACTGGATTAGCACATTTTGGAACAAAGCAGGTGTCTTATGTCCTTATTTCTTGGCAAAGAGAAATGTCAGAATTGCAAGAATCTTTTCTGTTGTTTCCTTGGAGGAGTACAGCTTTGTCTTTTTTTGACTTTCAGTCTCATCTGAAGTATAATCTCCATATTATCTGTCAGCATTCCAGCATTCCTTTACAATCCAGGAAGGATTACTAAAACATTTTGCTGGTGGTATTAGTCAGTCATGGTCTTTTGACCAGTTCTTAGTCTGGAGACACTTCTTTTCATATTATCCATCATGACAATCTCTTTTTTACATAGTAGGTAAAATAGCCACTTTTTAAAGCTGTTCTAAGATAATTGCAGTCATCATTAATCATCAGTAACTTTTTGACATTATTGACAGAAGAGGTTGATTCATTGTGTTCTTATTAAACTCCCTCCTTCTGTGCCCAGATAACCATGAAATACTTTTGCACCTGACAGCACCAAAAGAGAGAGTCTATATAAAATGCATTTTCTAGAGTTTTCAGGTATACGTGGTAGGAAAAAATGTCTTGTTTATAAACAGCATTTGAAATGCAATTATAATTTACTGTGGATGTAATTAAGCAAATAGTTCAGTGCATGATGAAATATAGGTTTAATTTAATTCCATCTTAGTAGTTTATGGATTTTCAGAATCTTTCAGTTTCTGACATGCATCCACTGAAAGTTCAGAATGTTAGTTTTACTTAGCTTCATGCCATTCTTTGGCCCTTCACTGTTTAGATAATCTGTGATAATGGGGTTGGCTCAATACCTATACTTGGTTACAGGAGTAGAGCATGAGAGAAGGAAAAGGAGAAGAAAGCAGACCAGTCTAATTTGAAGTCCGTGGATGTTTAGAATGGGTTTTGGTGACTCAAACTTTTTTTTTATAGGACTTTCTGCACATACACATGTGGAACTTCCTTATTACTCCAAATTTCTTCTAATAGCTGCATACCTTGCCTCCTACAACCCTGCTAGGACAGACAAGAGGTTCTTTCTTAAGGTAATGAGACTTTTTTCTTAGTGCTGCTTACTGGATTCCTGTGTGCTGAATTTCCTAGTTTAAAACTCTTCAGCCATTCATTCTGAGCTCTGTTCTGTCTGATTCATTTGATTTCATCAGAAGTTATGTAGGTCACATATTGTGATTGGTAATGATCACTTATTTTAATTTCTAATAAACACTTCTCATGTCAAAACATTCATAACACTGCTATAGCACAACTAGTATTTCCTTCTATAAGTTGATACAGCTCCATTTTGTAAAGATTTTAGTGGTGTGCCTGCAGTGTCCTTAGGTATAAGCCACACTTAAATTTCTGGAGTAGAGTAACAAACCACAACTACTTTAAACCTTTAATGAGGTAAAATGGCACAATGTTGACTTACTTATACAGTTTTACTCTTCTGGAACAGAAGCATACAAGCAGTTAACTGTTGCAGAAGATGTGGTTCCATATAGCTGGCACATGTCGTGTTGAGGTGGTGGTAATGCATGTTTTAGGATGAATGTATTAATCCTCACTACTAAATCGTGGGCTAAACCCCATTTTCAGTAGGTTCTTGGCATGTACATATTGAATTGTTTTCTTTAAATCTTTTTTTCTTTGGGCTGTGTTCTGGTCATACAGCAAACAAGCGCTGTAGTGCTGCAGTTGGTAGTCTCTCCATCTAGGATCCTCATGCTCCTCAAACCTCCATCATTGTGTTTGAGGTCTTAATTTGACAAAATGTAGGCAGGAAGACAGATATCAGAAAAGCAATCGGCAATTACATTTTCTGTAAATTTTAACAAACTAAACACTTTCCACATTATTATGGTGTGTATTAATATATGAATCTGTGTGTAAGTGTGTAGTATTCATGATAAATAGGTATGAACAATTGAAGAAATTGGGAACAAGACACATTTGTAAAGATGTGCTTGTTTTCCTCTTCCCTCTTGGGGAAAAAAATTGTAGATACATGTTTTGAGAAGTTACTGCATTTCCTAGTGATGAAAAACTGCTATGTTTTTAGTTAAAATATGGGGTTTGCGTTTCTGGTGAAAGCTGTAGGTGTTTAACACTTAGGTCTTTCTCTTTCCTGAGAAGAGTGGAGGATGATTTGGTAGTGACAAGTTTTCTTCATGGGCAACCTTTGTTCTTTACACTTGGGCAAAACAATTTCTTTTTGAGAGATGTGTTTGCTGAAGAAGTGGTTTTGCCCAGATTTTTCCATATTGGTCTTGGAAATCAAAGAAACAAGAAAGCTGACAAGTCGAGTCAGTATCAAAAAGGGGTATCAAAAAGTGCCACATCTTTCTTGTGTTCATTGAACAACCTTCTGAATTTAATCTTTTTTCCTTTCTTCTTTTTTTAGTATCTCTGAAATTAGGTTCTGCTCTTGCACGTGTACCTTGCTAATCTTTTGTACAATAAACATGAGCTTCTAAGGTTTTTGAAACGGGGACTGCGAAGGTATTTTAGCAGTGATATTAACCATTTTTCCCAAGAATTAGAGAAGCAGAAGTTACCATTCTGTCTACACAGGCTATCTGATAGCCATTAGCCCTTTATAAGGTGCTAAGGTGAATTTCAGAAATAGCTACATCTCAAAGCCCAACAAAATCAGGTGTTCAAGCTGAGTGTTTTTGTAAGTCATGTGGACTGTGAAAATAGAATATGGTTTTATCAGGTTTGTAATGAGATTCAGAGTAGATTAAGGAAAAGTATCTTCTGGAGTGATTTAACTAAGAACTGCGCCATGGCAAAAAGGGTGCAAACAAAGACTGTCATTAAGCTAATGCTAATCTGCACTGTTGCTGTAGGTGCTGGGCTGTACTGCTGCTGAAGATAAAGTCAGTTTGTGGCAACCTGGAATGCTAAAAGCCTGGTAAAGCAGTGAACTAATAATTGGCAGCACTGCTACTAGTTATGTGAAAACTCAAGAGTTTTGCGTTAGTGTGAGAGAAAAATACAGAGGTGATTTTGAAAGGTAGTCCTTAAAACAAAAGAATAGCAATCTAGGTAAAGTCTTCATTTTAACAGGAAACAGAATAACAACTAACTGAAAATTAGCTATAAAATCTATGGGTTTGTGCTTGCACAGAAATCTGGTCCCTGCACACTTGCTTTAAAACACTTTTGATATAACTTAAACGCACCATATGGAGATACCAGCATAACCTTTAAAATGCAGGAGTGCAGTTGGTTGTGATCCATTGCTAGCATGCTGTATAACCTCAGGGTTGCTCACTTTTCCTTCCAAAAGGTCTCTGTTACAATCACTGCAGTCTTCTTGTAAAAGGCATAATAAAAAGATTACTTTGTTGTCTCTAAGTGTGTGATATGTATTAATTGATTTTTTTTTTTTTTTAAATCTAGCAAATTGTTTAAAGGAAAACTAAATCCTTGTCTGATATTAAGCTCTTCAGAAGTCAGTCAAGGAAGACAGAGTTACTGAGGTCTTCTTGACTTGGCTGAGGTCCACAAATACTAAGTACAAGATTTTAAGCATTATAATGAAAAACAAATTCTTTCATTTGAGATTTTTTCCATGATTCATTGAGCATGCTTCTAAGGTATACTCTTAAGGCTGTGGAAAAATTCATCAGGTGCTATTTTGAGAAATAGCACTTAGCTATGTTTAAAGAATATTATACTTGTACCTCTCTGCTAATTTTACATCATTTACACATCATCCTAAATGTTTCTCCTTTTCTTTTTTTTTCTTTTACACAGTCATTTCTAACATTTTTTTTTTTTCCACTGTATTTCTGTCCTTGTCTTGCCCTCATATTTTCAGTTGACATCCAGGAACACTTGATTATTTTCTTTGGACAGTCCTTCTTCTCTTAATGCCGCTTTAAAGCTGTGCCTTTTGAAATTAAATGATGATCCATTTTTTCCCCTCTCCCTACTTCTTTCTGTTTGTTGTTTAGCTCCTGCACCTTGAAGTATCTTTGTATTGTATTGACTTAATTCCTGCTTGTCATTCTGCCAACCTGAGTACCACCTGAATTCTAAAATGGAGCAGATAAAGGTTGAAAATTCAGATGGAGTTATGCATGGATACATTTTAAAAATGAAGTAGCTGTTGGTGCAACTTCTCTGGAAGGAGAAATATAACCTCTGTCTTTTTCATTAGGTTATTGAGGGCAGGAGGATGATGGTGACATAGAGTTATATTAAAACAAATTTTTATTGCCTCTTCTCATCAGTACCTGGTTAGATAAGAAAAAAAAACAATTATGTCCATCTCCAAAAACAATACTAGTGTGTGGCTTTTGGCTTGTACTCCTTGGGACACAATGTAGCAAGAAATAAGTCTAATTTTGCAGCTTCTAGCAAGAATGATTGCCAGTAACATCAGAGACAGATACTGGTGGTGTAGTCAAGAAGCAGACCCAGAGTGATGTACTACCATGTGTAGTGCACTAGTCTGACTGTTTGGATTCCATCTTTACTATGGAAGGACTGTAAAATAATTTACATGTAATATTCGTTCTTGTCTGTTTACAGCATCATGGGAAAATCAGAAAGACTAACTTTATGAAGAAACATGAAAAGGTATGTATTTCTATGTCTAAGCTGGGCTTGGCAACAAATACTGTCTTTCTAATGTTTTTTGTTTTCTGCTTTACTTCATTTACTGTAGAAGCAATAGAATTGCATAAATAACAATTATTTGTGTATTTGTTTCATATTAACCAAATTTTTGTACGATACACACATTTTTATTTCACTAGGATTTAACTGCAGCATAAATTTGTCTCCTGGAGCCATATTTTTATGTATAACAATGTGCTTAATGAAGCTGGTTAAGAAACGTCATACATGGAAGAGCCAGTTACCAGAATTTCTCTCAAAGCGGACAGAATAATAGATGGCTAGTAGTTTTGAAAGTCAAGTCACTTTAATTTGCAGTGATGCAATGTGATACAAGAGCTTTAAGTTTGTGTCTTTGGAAGCTTTTCAAGCCTGTGTGTTGGTTAGGATTTCATCAGGCTGTTAAGTTACCTTTTCATGGTTGTAAATAGCTAAATATCATTGATTTTACTGGGGCTATACCAGTTCTTAGTGATGGAGCCTTGATATGCTGGGAAAAGCAAATACCTATATGTGTGTTTATAACTGTAAGGTAAAAAGAGAAATCAGATTTTAACATTTGTAACTTTTTTTACTTAATTAAAAACAAATTTCTAAAATAAGAGCGGTGCAGACAGCACTAGATCAGTGCTGAAACTATCATTCCATTCTCTGTGCTACAGGCTGTGTAAATAATACAAGAAAAATTTTCATATGATACTTAGCCCTGATAATCTTTTCCTTCTCATTGTGCCTGTAGCCTTTTCTCTTATTTTTCTCCTGCCTCTGTACTAGGACAGAGTCTGTGGCTATCCAAAGACTTTTTTCCAAATTCTGTTTCTGTTTGGGCACAATTTTTGCGTATGAAAATGTAAATGATCATAGTTCTACTTCAACAGTGCAATATGTTGCACTGCTATGGTAGGTATTTATGTAAACTCAGGAATTTGTAAGTCTCTGAATGTGTGTGTTCTGTACATGTAGACCTCGCGTGTTTTGTCCCTGGCATGTGAACTCCTGAGGATTCCCAGAGCATTTAATTATTTTCAGGACTGCTGTATTCTTGAAACCTCCACGTCTTAATTAGTCGATTAATTATTCCTTCCTCTGAAAAATTATTTTTGTATCTTAGATCAAAATTATGATCTTTCTTTGCATCCTTGTCTAGAAAGGTGTTTTGTTTTATTCTTTCTTGGCAATAGGCTTCCAATATCAATACACCACCCCTCAGAAGCTTGACTAAAGCCTGATTTACAGATCAGATTCACCTACACCATCCCTCAGAAGCTTGATTAAAGCCTGATTTACAGATCAGATTCACCTAACTCCAAGTGGGTGTGTGCCTCTAAGCTAGTGTTTTTTTACAGCCAGTGCAGAGCTTGTCAATGCAGTCGGAGTGTAGGGTGTGATTCGTCTCATGCTGAAGCAGGTTCTGTGTTCAGTCAGGTGAATTGCACCATAAACTGTATTGATTAGATTTCTACTGGCTATAATGGCAACTCGGGATTCTAGCTTGGCTATACATACCTACTTGGCAGGAAGCTAATATTAGATGAAATAAATCCTTTCTTAAAAGTTTAGGTACGGCCAGGCTAAAAGTCAGTTTCTTGATTCTTAAAACTGTTCAGTCCAGAGGCTATATTTTCTTGTTTGTTTTTTTTTTTTTTTCAATTAGAAAAAGTAGATCTTGTGAATGAGGGGAAAAAAATTACTTTATCATTCTATTGATTGTCTTGTTGCTGATAACAGCAGATTATGATTTCTTTGCATGGTTGCTCTGGAACAATATTTTTCCAGATTAGTGACAAGTGAGATATTCCTGGTGAAGCTACTTTTGCCAGGAGTATGCTTTTTCACGTCAGTCCAGCAGCAGCTCATATGTGTTGGTGTGTATTTTATTGGAAAAGAGTTTGCATAGTATGTCTGCTTCAGCTTCACTCTAGGATTTGTTTTGTATCAGAATTTCTAGCTTACAGCTGAAGATGATGCATTTGTATAGCAGGCAGGGAAATTCAGAAGTGCTTTCTGCTAAAAAAGAGAGCAGCATAGTTCTGTCTTGAATGATATGCTAAAAAGGTTTAAAATTCAGACCTCTAAGGTTGAGGACTTTCTGCCTTTTGTGCAGCCAATTTAGGCTGGGTTAGGCTTTTACTCTTTAAAGAATGCTTTTGGCTCTCATTCTGGAGTGTTAATACATGGCTTGCTGTTTTGGGACAGTGAAAAACTTAAGCCATTTAAACAGTGGCAACAAGAAACTCAGACAGTGTAGATAAAAAGCATGAGCACAGGTACTGGCCATTGAGGAAAAAGTCTTTTTTGAACCATTAGGTTAGTATTGCCGAGGTGGAAAGACAACAGAGGACACAGAGTTAACTTGATGGCTATAAAACTTTCTGAAGAGGTTTTCTGAATGTGGAAGGTAGCTTTATTTTTAAGTGAGCAGAGGGGTCCCTTGGATTTTTATGAATAGTATTCTGTGTAGTATTCTGCCTTAGCTCTTTGCAGAAGATTTTAAAAAAATCTTACTCTTCACTATGTTTGGTTTGGAGGAATTTCTAAACCATTCCTATTCCAGGAATTCTTTTTCTCAAAGAAATAAAAACAAAGGGCTTCTTTTAGAAGTTACGTTCACTTAGAAGTAACTCTTCAGGCTTTTCTAGAAGAAAGCGTTTCTCTCAAAGAATTTCAAAGTTAAACCCAGTATTCTAAGTAGAGAGCTGATAATATTATTAAGAGCAAGGAACTTCTGAAGTAACTGTATACTAACACAACTTCAGGTTTTACTACATGCTAATGGTGTGCACTCCAATCAGCTAGCAGGCACATTTTTATTACTATGTTTGACTTTTTCTGTTGATAAGAAAGAGTATGCTTCACAGAACTGATATGTTTAGGAGCAGAGGGGCAAGGGATTGTATAGTTCAGAACTTACACCATACCTGTTTTCTGACTGAGGGTGCAGTGCTAAAATTTTGACATGTTTTCATTATTTTTCACATTGCTTTCTTTGTTAGCCAACGGGTAGCTTTGGGGACACCTCCTGGATCTGAAAAGCTAAAACATGTATTGGAAATACCTTTTTGTTTTGCTGAAGAAATGGTTGGTTTTGTTTTACTGACAATTAATGGCACAGAGGTGCTGGTAGTATATTTGAGAGGTGTTCTTTCTCAGAAGCATTTTGAAACAAACTATCTTTTGAAATTGGTTTTTAATCTTAGCTACTCTGCCGGTAAAAATAAATCACTATACACAACAATAAAGGAAACTGTATGTCAAAGTAGAGTGAATGAAATATAAACTTGAAGTAAGTATTTCCCTTGTCAGAACTTCTGAAAGTCTGGGTCATAAATAAATCTGTGGTCCTAACAATGCTGCTTGAGTTAGTATACTTCCTCTGTCCTATGAACTCTACTTCTTTTTGTAAGGTTGGCTATTTTAAAAATATTTAACATTGAAAAATCAGGAGCTCATATTTCTGTGAATTCAGTTGAATTCAGTGTTGCTACATAAATAACCTGTAATGCTTAAAATGTCCATTGGTGTCAACTGAGGTGTGAAGATGATGCTTATGGTGCAAAAGAAGGGTAAGGGACAGAATAGCTCTGTAAATTAAAAGGTGAGTAAATATGCTGTGTTCTGATAACACAGTTTGTCTGTAGCTGGCAGATAGCTCTTTATACAGCAGCTCTTACCAGCAGAGCAGCTGACCTTGGTCTCAGCCAGCCAAACTCTGTTTTAGCCAGCCAAACTCATGGGAGATGAATGCACTCTGAGCTTGTACACTTGGCATTCTTTGGGCTGAGGCTTGAATGCTCTGTCCAGTTTTGCCACCCTCCAATACAACACACACATCAGTAAACTGAAACCAGCTCAGCAGAGAGACATCAGAACAGTCAGGGGCTGGAGCACTTGATCTGCAAGGAGAGGCTGAAGGAACTGCAGTTGTTCAAGCTGGAGGAGGGAGGCCTAAAAGCAGCCTGTGCTGCACCTGCAAGGAGATCGTCAGCAAGGGCGGATGGTGGGAGAGTGAGAAGCAATGCATGTAAGCTGAGGCAAGATGCTTACACTGGATATAAGGAAAATCTTTGTCCATATGAGGACAGCCAGGCAGTGATGCTGGCTTCCCAGAGAGGTGATACTGTAGATATCTCTGGAAGTTTTCAAGACTGGACTGGTAAAAGTCCTGAGCAACCTGGCCTGACCTCATAGGTGACCCTGTTGTGAGCAGGAGGGGCTTGACAAGAGACTTTTTAAGGTCCTTCCCAGCCAGAGCTGTCCTATGAATAGGTGTATTTTTAAAAAGTAGAAATACAGTAGTAAAGGTGTTTCCTATGTAAAACTAAGTTCTGCTTTCTAATTTTATGATCAAGAATGTTTCTTTTGTTTTGGTATCAAAATGGTAACATTTTAATTGTGGTATAAAGGAAGCAAAAGAGAAAATTAAAACAGAAAAGTTTAAAATCAGACCAAATAAAAAAAAGCCCTCAACAATTTTGTTGGAAAAAATAAGCAGCTGATAAATTTTTTTCCTCCAGAGATAGCAGATTGAGTTTTTGTGTGTTGGTTTTGGTTTGGTGGACAAGGACCTCTGGTTTATTCCTGTCCCTGCAAGTGACTGAATTATACCCTGACTGTAGCCAATAGAACAAACCTAAAGTTATGTTTTGTTTTGTTTTGTTTTTTTTTCACAAGCTAGAAGTTCTGTGTGCTTTTAAGAAGCCTAACATGTCTTACTGTTGATAAACTGTAAAGAAAAATGTTTCTTGAGAATGCTGTAAAATGTAGTCTTTCCTCTTTAATCCTTAGCTTGGGTAAGGTAATTTAATAGGACAAGTAAATCTATAAATCTAGTGACAGGAAATTTAGCATCATATCTTTCACTGTAGTTCAAAAATCTTCCTGTTTATTGTGCAGTGTGCAGTTTGAACTCTTGCCATGTTAAAGAGAGCTCTCTATCTATCTTGCTCAGTAGGCATGTATTCAGCATTTTCCATAATATGTAAGTAGGCTGTATGAAGACTTCTGTGAATTATAGTGCTTCCCCAGAGGCTAAGCAGACGTGAGAAGAGCATCTTCTGGTACTTCAGGAAAGATCTGAATTGTAAGATTGGATTGTGAAGTCTTGTTTCTGTTGCAGACCAGCAATCACCTCCTTGGGCCAAAGCCATTTCCCCTGGACAGATTGCTAGCAATACTGTATAGTATTGTGGACAACAGAGTTGCTCCAACTGCCAATATATTTTCCCAGGTGAGTGTGTACTTACCTTCTTTGTTTCCTTTTTACTGTTTGGAATTTTTGAAAAGGTTTTACATTGTGTTCTGTAAATCATCATTCTACTGAAATGTAATGAGAAAACAACCATAAGAATAATTTGATAGCTCAGAGTAATATTTGCCTGTAGTGTTAGCTATTAATTCAATAATTTATCTGTGTAATGGTCTGGAACCTTCTCATTGCTAACCTCTCCTTGATCCTGCACTGTGAACTGTGTTTCTTTGTTTCTTGGCTTCTCGTTGGATCTGTTAGTTGGTTTGTGTTTCACGTTAGCTGTATAAATGTTCACTGTCCTGCAGCCAAAATTGGTCACCTTGTAAAGCATGTTACACAAGTGTAGTGATGAAGAAGGAGCAGAGAGAATTTGCAGGTGAAAGGTGTTTACTGTGATGCATGTGTCTTAGGGATAACGGTTTTTGTTTGGGCCAACTGGTATGTCTTGCAGGGGAGAGAGTCTGTCCCGTTTCACTAGATGGCAGCATAACGATAGATTTGGGTGGAATTAAGGAAGTCTGTGGTTTGCTCTAGAGCCCTGGGCTTGTCAACTGTAAATACTTATTCTGTGTAAGTAAAGATAGTTTTCTGTTGTCACCTTGATTCTTACATCTTTTACGTCCACCTTATAAGATTTCAATTTCTTTCCTGCTTTTCAGTTACACTTATCTTTTACTAGTTTTTTTCTGTCTTTCCTTGTCAGGTCTCAAATGTAACCAAGGATTATTTAAATCTCATGTCCGTGTTCATGTAAACATGCACAAGACACTGGGAGAATTTTGCTGCCACTTTAATCATAACTGTTCAGTGTTCACACAAACGTTTGGCAAAAACCATCTCAAATCTGTAGAGTAACCGTCTGTAAGTATAGATATTGTAAAATCAGGTAGTAGAGGAGCTAGAGAACTGTAGTACTTGATTTAATCGGTGGTATAGGAATATCTTGGTTAATAGTGGTGGCGACCCAGGTGCTTTAAAGATGCAGTAGGCAAGTTGCACTTTCATATGTTTTTGCTCAGACTTCTTTAGTTAAATGTTATTATGTGATGTATGGCATGAGAAATTATTATGTGACAAGAACCTCAAGGATCTTTTAATACAAGCATTTCATTTTTCGTAATTAGATGGGTGATTTTTCAGCTTGTGGTCTGCACCCCCTTAAGCAATCGGTGAATTAGATTTCAGAGGTGTTCAGGAAGTGACTGAAAAAATCAAGCTTGTGCACATTTATGCATTCTGTACTTGGTTTTTTGCCTTTTTTCTGTCATCTCACAGCACCTCAGGAACTCACTGTACTTTCAGAAGGAATCCTAACTTTGTGAGAATTTCAAAGCTACGTGAAGTTTCCTATGGGCAAATGCCATATGAAAGGACACCAAGGGTTGTTGAAGCATGCAGTTTCTGACCATCATTTGGATGATGGCTTGCAGCCTTATAGCTACTTATAGCAATTTTGGAGTACAAAGAACACAGGGACCTTAGTGTTTGTAAAAATGCATAAATTTGGCCAGCTAGTAGGTTTCTTTTTTTTCTCACTACTGTCAGATGTAGCCTGAGATAATTGCGCATTTTTAGAAATGTTGTATTGTTTAATTCACTGAAGTCTGATCAAGCCTGTCAGTCAAGGTATTGGTCAGTGAATTTTTTGAGTTTGGACACTGTTGAAGCTGAAATACAGAATACTGAGGCAAAAGACAGTTGTCTTGTTTAATGATGCCATTTTATAAACAATGATTGATCTAGGTTTGCTTCAGTAAGAAACAGACTTACTTACAGAACTGTTATAGAAACTCACAGGAAAATATGATACAATCCAAGTAATGTTCAGACTAGTTTCGCTTATGCTCTGAATCTATTGATGATTCACCATGTAGGTACTTCTTGTCTTAAGCCCTTTTTTCTCTCTGCCTTTCTTTATGTGTTTGAAGACACTGTCACTGTGATCTTTGAACAAAATTTCATTTTTAGAAGGAAAGAGTACAACTTTTAAGGCATAAGATTAAGGAACAGTCAAGAAGCAAAACAACTGACAGTCCAACTGCAAGTATGAAATTAGAGCTTTGCCTAAACTTTGCCAGTCTCTAGGAGGAAACTTCAGTTTAGCTTAAGTAATGTGAAGGGGAACACTGACAAGACTGGAAACACTATGTAATAAAATTTGTGTGTAGGATGTTAGCTATATATTCTCTTATTTCTGGCTATCAAAAACATCTTGGTATAGTTAAGAAGTGAAGGTATTAATAGATTTACAATGTATTTTCAACATTAATATCAGCATATTTAACATGCATTCCAGATGAGAGAACAGATCTCATTATTCCAATGCACAGTTAAGTAGTACTGAAGAAACAGTTTGTACATGGAGTGTAATTTCCCCTTAGGCTAAACTGGAAAATTAAAAAAAAATCAAATAAATGCATCATCCTAATGGAGTGTACACTAGATGGCACTGCTATCAAAGAATAGCTATAATTCTTTAGTTTTCAGAACATGCAGATTAAGGTATAAAAATAAAAAAAGATTGTATTAAACTTTAACCAGGTTGGGGCATAGAGGCTGAAATTAAATCTGTTTATGCCAAAATAATGTCTTATAATTTTTTTTCATCATGACAGCAATTTTTGCATTAAATTTAAACTAAGATTTATTGAAATGTTCAATATAAAAATGTTTCATGTAAAGTAACAAAATGCAGCAGAATTCAAATTATATTTTGGTAGTAGTTTAATCTAGGGATAATATTGTATTTTTTTTTCTTGACTAGTGTAAACCAATTTATACTCCACTTTTTTTTTTGCAGTTAGCTATTCTGTAAATATATTAAAATAAAGTAAATATTTAGGATCTGGGTTACTCTTCGCAGTATCAATACATTTTACTGTTAGATACCACAAGCTTTTATTTTGTTGTTTATGTACACAGCATGGAAATCATTCTTCAATTCTGCAGAAGTTTAAAATATTTTAAATCAAATATTTGCTTCTTAACTGATTGAACATTGATTTTATATGCTCGTTAATTTGTAAACTGAAAGGCTGTATATGAACCAAATGCTTATTAATTCTCCCCATGTACTGTCAGAAAATAGCATGCCTTGGCTTTAAAGTTGATCAACAATCTCAGCTGAGATTCAAGAAGGACTAGCAGCTGCTTTAAGATCTGTCATGTTGCTGATTTCATGACACTTCTTATTGCTTCTTGTTTCTATGCATAAGATCTATTCACATGAAAATTCTGGTTATTAGCTTTGCAAAAATTAAAATTCTGTGCTAATAAGTAGCAAAATTCCAATTTTCAGTTTAATGCTAGGGTTTATTGAGAATCTTTAATTTTAATAAATAGAATCTCAACTTAAAACTTGAATCTTAATCTAACTTTTGCCTTTTAATTTTAATTAATCCTTCAAATTCTTTTTTAAAACAAAAAGTTAACGTGTTTCTTTTGAAACTTTGATCTTTGTAGTTGATACAAGACTAAGTTTTTCCTGCTGTAACTTCTTGCTGTAACTGGGTTACAAGAGAAGGAATTGGGCATAGGTGAATGTAGGTCTATATTCATGTGAAGTTTTCAGTGCTTCTTTTCCGTGCTTGGGACAGGACTTGTACAGTTGATGTTGTAATTGGTTATATGACTAGCTTGAGTATGTAACTGAAGTATTTTAAAAGATAAAACATTATTTTTAAGGGTGAAAAATTGCAAAGGTACTTTTACACAGTGCTAAAAATACTGCAACTACAGTGTACACAGTTTGCATCCTACACCGACAGGGAAGTCATAGGATTTCCTTATCTGGGTGCAGCAGTTGATGCTTTTTCAGGCTTGGAACAACCAGGAGTAGGATTTGTGGGTCCACATAGACCCACTGCACAGAATATGAAATGTGCAATTATTACAGAATAGAGGGATACAAATCAATTTTATGCCTACTGCAAGTGCATTTTGCTAAAGTTTAGAGAGTCTACTTGGCTCTCATTTGTAGAGTGGTAGTATTTCATTTTTGGGTTTCCCATGTTTAGACAGAAATATAACATTATTCTACTAATAAAAATGTGTCTTAGTATAGGACACGAGTGAATTTATGCATGAAACATTGTAGAAGAATTGTCAGGAGTGATGTAAATTAAATCGGCTCATTTTACATTGAAGGGGACAAGGGCTATTAATTTCATATCACAACCAGTAAGCAAGTAGGTGTTTTTGTTGTAGGTGTTACATTTATGGTTTACAAGCCAAAATAAACCAGTACTTTTGCCTCTACCAAAACTATTTTTCAGTTGCTTCTTCAAATTAATTCACTTCTCCTAACCATTTTTTCATTTTCTAGATGTTGTCTTGCTTCTGCTTTCTTGTGACATGCGCTTTTTATAAAGAGAATTGACTAGATCTGCTTGTAGTTTTGAGCTATGATGTTATCTATATTAGGTAAATGGAATTAAATCCTTTTTCTTGTATACTTTTGCATATTTTTTTCCTGTTAGTAGGTCCCTGAATGTTTGGAAAGACATTATACAGAAAGATATGAGAATTTCTCATACAAATAGCTGAAACTTACTGAAAAGGTGTAACTGATCAGTAATGTCAATTCTATTTGCTTTTTCACTCTGGTGTATTAGACTGTTAGGTCATCTTAAAGTTCAGTGTCTATTTACATTCAGAATCGGGTTTGGTTTTACTGTTACTCCTTATATTCAGCAAATGTTTTCAGGTGCTTGTACAGTAGGAATTGACTTCTGATTATAGTGCATTTGGGAACAGATTTCTGCAAAGGCTATTTATCTCTGTGGGTATATGTGACACATCGGGTAGCTTGCACATTATAGTGTACATTTAATTTCTTAGATGTTTCCTGTCTGTGTGATACAGGCTCTAAGAAAAACACCTAAATTTCTCTTAAGTGTACCACAAATTCCTAAAACTAATGTAGTTATAGATGTGTAAGAATTTGGAATGGAGGTCAAAAAACTTAAAATTTTCCAATC